AGGTTACTGCGTGAGTCCGTTAGCATTCATCCATTTGGATGGAATCCAGTGTTCTACGAATTGTAGCCTTGCTAAGTTTGCAACACATTACCATAAGCGAATGTCTGTTCTTACTACCAACTTTATAGATATCACTTGTAAGCACTTATTAGAAGGACCTAGCATTTTGCAAATATGAACCACCTTAATTTTTAAACAGAAACTATTTCCTTTAAATAAGAAATAAATAATTAAAAAGAGCTTCCTTTATTGAATAATAAATAAATAAATATATTTCCAAGTAATGGTTTATAAGCATTCGCCCAATCTTAAGGTAGATCACAGGCGGACGTCAGTTAGAAGAGCGCTGAATATTATTATCCTGGCTGTGAACTCTCAAGCAGTTCACACCTGTGACCTCATCGGTTACAATGCCAGCTCTGTGACTATTTAGTCTCCCTGGAAAGGAATTCATTGGCGCACAGATTCTTACTTCTGCCATTTTGTGATATATAGTTCTACTACCAGCCATTGTTATAGGTGAGCATCTGTCCCTACTCACGAGTTCGAATCCTGCCCATCCTACTTCGATTTGACTAAATGGTTAGTATCATTAGTCCAACCTCGTACATTTAAAGTCTGTTTCAGGTAGTTGAAATCTCATTTCATTTAATGAAAGTTAACAGAATTTATCCAGAATGTCAAAAATAGTTAAAATACTTAAGCTGATGCAAGACCAATCATAACCACTGGTACTTCTATGCATTTGGTAACACATACTTTGTGAAAACTAGTGATAATATCTGGCTACCCAGACTTCATTAGGAAGAGCAGGGTTTGAACGCCTAATCTGGTGAGTGATAGTTGAGAGCCTAGATCAGTGAGTCACACCATATAGAGCTTTGTATGGCTACATTAAGACATGGAAAGCATGTATAATTTGACTGAATGTTGTTTTGAATAACAGGGAAAGAAAGGAGTTAATTTGTTACTAGATAGAAGAGAACACGAAGTTCAGCAACATAGATATCTTTTCGGCGATTTCATTCTCAAAAGCTGTTGTACAATCGCATTTATATAGATTAATATACATGGATAAAATTTTTGTTTGTTTAATTCCACATAGTAACGAAGGTGATAATAATTTTCAACTTGATATGAAAGTTTGAAGGTACGAATATGTAGATTACAATGGGCTTAGGGACAAGATTACATAGGATTGATTGGAAAACAGTTACAACGTATGGAAAATTAATATTTCATAATTGGAGAAATAATCTTAAAGGGGAATAAAAGGTGAAAATTATTTTTAACTTGATATGAATTACAAGAGGCTTAGAAACGCAGGGATAGAACGAATTACAGGTGTGAACAAAATTGGGCATAGAAAAAAATTGAAATCAAAATTTTCAACTTGAAATGTAAGTTAGGAGGTATAAATATAGATTACAAGTGCCTTAGAAACACAAAATTGTACAGGATTAAGATATAATTGTAAGATATTTATTTTAAACGAATTATAAATGTGATCAGGAGGAGCATGGAAACAAACTTAAAATAACTGTTTTTATAACGGAAAAAAATCAGGTGAATTTAATGAAGATTGAGGGAATAAGGATCAGACACAAGGCGAACGAAAAAAGGCTCAAAAGGAAAAGAGAGAACGGAAAAAAACGAAGAAGAGAAAAAAACGGAAGCAAAGGGAACATACCAAACTAGGGCCATGGAGTATCGAGAATCACTGGGTTGAATGTGTATTATGGAATGTGCAATATGGAAGGTATAGTACTAATATAGGTGCAAATGTTCTTTTTTAATCTCGGTTGGTAGAGTATTAAACAACATGCAGTGTACCGTGGCACCTTCAACTACATATTATCTATATATATACCTCACTTGAATTTGTCACCAAAATTATAAACCGACAGAGAGAGAGAGAGAGAGTTTTAAGCTCAAGATTGCTGTTATTAGATGTCTGGAAGCGATCGGCAGGAACCCTGCCATGAACCAGTTTTCGTGCTTCTTGGCACTCACCAGTCATCAAGGAGTATCTACAATCATGAAGGAACTCATGTCCCTTCTGAGATCCGAAATTGCATCACACAGTGGTACAGTCAGAGACGTCACCACTGAGCTTTACGGGTTAGCCCATGAAGTCCTAGGCCCAGGGCTTCCTGCCGATTGCCTCCAATCATATAAAAGCAACCATTCACAGTGCAGCATGATGGCAAGCCACTTAGTATAGTGGCGACATTGCAAACTTAACTGATGGAAGGATTCAATCTGCAGTAAACAAAAGGATTAGACACATGACAATGGTTAGCGTCCAATCAAAAGTATCTAATACAATCCTACAGGAGACAGAGAGTTTTAAACTCTACGATAACTAGATATGAGCACGAGTGAGAATGTCAAAGTCGGTTTGGGGGGAACAAGATAGGCGTTGACTACTCTGACATAGATATAGATATCCATAAAAGTTAACCGTAGGAACAATAACCGATTTTCCAGATGAGTGCTTCAATATTGTTCAGAGACTTAGTGCTCATACCACCAAAAGTCTTTCCAACAGGTTACTGCAAACTTTTATCACAACAGCTGTCTTCTCTCGATAGAGTAGATAGTTGGTCAGGAAGGATAAATAACAAGGAACTCTCGGAGGGAACCAGCCAAGAACCTATAACCCAAGAATAATACAGAAGGAAACAGAGATGGATTGGACACATGCTGAGGAGATATTCAAGTGATATCAAATACTTAGCTACTGAGTGGAACGACAATGGAAAGTGATGGTTAATGACTGACATGAGGAGATCGTATGGAGAGGAAACGAAAGATTATGAGATAGTAGCATGAAGTCAGATGAAACTGATGACCAATAACTGAATGGAATGGATATGTGTGACTGAAGCCCAATGTCTCATCGGGAATACAAAGACATATTATTATTTATTCATTTATTTTATTCCTTATCATTCCAAGTGGGACATGCGGCTTCACACTATGACCTTCAAAGTTGCGTTAGCGGTGGTGGTATTTTTTAATGGGATGGGGTTGCTAGCCTCATGCCCAGCCTGGCCTATTTACCAATCTTATTACTAGCTTAGCGAGGTAAAGGAGTGTGTCAGCCGAGAGTCGAACCCCGGACCATATAAGTGGTTAGTGAGCATTCTATCTACAACCGTATAATGATTCCAACCGTATAATGAAGGCTACGGTGGCATACGTCAACTTCAACCACCTCTGGCGCCGTCCCGACGTTAGCCTGGCCGTCAAAGGTTGGGTATACAATGCTTCGGTGTCAGCTGTGTTGCTCTTCGCCTGTGAAACCTGGCCTATCTGAGCTGAGGATGTGCGGCGGCCCTGCGTGTTTGATCATCACTGTCCCCGCAGGATTGCTGGCGTTCGATGGCATCATCGCATGAGTAATTCTGAGGTTCGGCGGCGTGTGTGTGAACACAGTGGAGATCACCATTTATTGAGTGTCGTCATTTGGTAACAACGGCTCTGGCGGCTTGGACGTGTGCTGCGAATTTCATCCCAGAGGCTTCCGTACAGGTCTATGTTCTCTAACACTGGTACGGTTTAGAAAAGGCACAGGAGTAGTCAATCAGTGATCTGGCATCGTGGGATGAAGGATTTTTGTGTTAGATTAGCATTGGTTGGTGCGTCACGACTCCCTTGTTGGGGTCCGCAAGATAGCTGGAATCGATGGCTCTAAACGTTATCAGCTATGACCAAGAATCGTAATCAATAGCGAAAGTGTTGCAATTTCTTTCTTTCTTCCCTTCCCGATGATAGTTAACGAATACTGTTTGAACTTGTTAAGTATGACTGTTTTCCTTCCAGATGATGTTCTTTATCCGTTCTCTACTTATATTTTTTGCTTTTGATCTATGTTGTTTTATTATTATTGTGTGGCGTATCTTCCTGACGCCATATTGAACCAAGTTTTTTCTGCGTTTAAATAAATAAATAAATTCTACTTCTGAACCACCGACTGAAAGAAGCATTAACAATGATAATATTCTGAGATTATCCTACTCATTTATTCCTGCGTAATTCGATTAGATTTGCTTATTTATTTATTCCTTATTTTCTAGTCAGATGCTAGATTTCTTCGTGATCTCTTCTCTTTTTGTCTTTTCTAAAGTGAATAGCTTAACTGCGAACGTTTCATTATCCCCCTAAGTGACATCTTCAGCGTTGATTTCAAAGTGAATTGACTTTCTTATTGAAATACTCTATAAATGAGATAACAGTGTCTCCTGATGTGAGGTTAACTGTGTTTGTTTGTCTTCAGAAGTATTCTTATTCTTGAATTCATTTGTATTGGTATTGATAGCTTCTCCGTTAACCTGGTATTTGACCTTATAACCATATCCCTTTTTGAACTTGACCTACAGCTGCTGAATAACAGGTTACTAGGAATTCTCTGACATTTTTAGAATTTCCGCTATTTAAAGTCGTCACATTTTACCAGTCATATTTGTGTTCATAGCTGTCTACATCGCATTGATATGAAGATATAGTCAAAAGCGGAAAACCACTTCGATCAATCAAGTGCTTTTCAGAAGCGATGCATTTCGTCATTTAGCTAGCTAGTATTGATCATCTGTTCTTTAAGTGAACTGCTGATATAGACTAATTATATCAGTAAATAAGTAAGACGTCACATGACTAAAAGCTCAGACACCAGACCAACGAATCAATTCACAGAAAAGAAAACTTCCGAAGACAACCAATCACATTCAAGGTCATCAAGAGAGATCGTTATATATCATTCGTGGAGTATATAACGCACAATGAAGTACGCTCTGAAAAAGATGTAATCGACATGGGGGTGAGGCACACCTTTGAAAACATTATTCCGAAATTATTCTGTCTCTCTCGCCAGTCAGTGTAACATAAAACTAAAAGATATAGATTTCTTCGCACATATATTAAAATATATTTTAATATGTATATGTATATATATATACATATATACATCTGAATTGATATACAATTTGTGTTGATATACACAAAAAGGTGTTTTTCATTCACCTAACTTTCATTATTCACAACATGTGAATATTGAATATTGGACATTGGACATTGAATATGTTCAACAACATTAAATGTTCGTTCGTTACACAATTGCTATTTTTTTTTTCGCTTTGCTTTACTTTCTAGAATCACTAGAAAAATATGCGTGTCTATCTTTTTTTTTTTTGAAAAAATTTTCATTCCTCTTTTCTGTATCACAAAAAGTTAGCAAATTTGTATTTCCCACACCCACTTCATAGAAATGTTTCAATAGATAATTGAATCAAATTTTTCAATAGCTAACTGTGTTTTATACTTTTTCTTAGTTTCACAACAATAATTATTATAATTAATTAATGGACAATCAAGATATCCTGATGAAAATTCATAATATAGTGTAATTTCAATTGGATCCCATTTAGGACCACCAGAATAATTGAATTCTAACAACATTTGTCCATTGCGTATCAATGTTTGCGTAGAACGCATTTGATCTACATACACGATAATATCTTTACTTGGTAATAAGTTTAATTTACACTTAATTAATTCTTTAATCATTAAACCTGTATAATCAAGTGGAATGACTTCTTCAAAAACTGTACTAATACCAAATATACTTAGAGTAGATGATTTAAATTTACACAGTACCCAATTACAATCATTTGTTATATCCATAGTTTTGTATTGATCTTTTGTATAGATTTTTTCAATCGCCTTCCAGATAACTTCACTTAATCGACTCCATTGTACTTGATTAGTTTGCTTGGGACTTAACAGTATGTAGAGAAGGTGTAATTCTGTATCATTTAATGATGTTTGCATACTTTTTAAGGCAAGTTTAAATTCTATCTCTGTTATGATATCACGATTATATACATTCATATAATGTAGATACATTTTTTCATTTTTTTCATACCAATGTTCAATTTTATGCACAAAATCAATAAATAGTTGGGGATTTTTTGTATATTCATTACATTTAATTGTTAAAGTGATATTATCATTTCGCGTTAATCTTTGTAAGTATTTATGTATACTTTTGGTTGTTTTAGAGTAGGAAAGTGAATTATCTAAAAAATCAATATATATATATATATATATATATATATATATATATATATATGTATAAAATATTGATTTGTGGGGATTCAGTGGATTGGTTATAAGATTTCCTCATCAGCTAACATCGGCTAGAGAACCATAGGAAAACCAGCTGGGAGTACTGGACAGCCAGCTGTTTCGTCAGCCTAGTTTGGGACTCTTGACAGTACGTGCCTAGCACTAGGGTTTGAACCCAGGATCTTGTGATTACAAGGCGATCTAGCTCGTAGACTATTAAACCACTGGTACCCGATCCAACTTCCGCCAATTCACGACCCAGCGCGACCGCTAGCCAGCGTCATCCGTGGCGAATATTTGTTCTAACACCCGACCTGGTGCACCCTACTGGTCACGATGTCCCACTAGAACCCCACGTAAATACTTCTCTGAATAGAGCTAGTAGGTAGTGGGCTTAATGGTCTACGAGCCCGCCTTGTAACTGGAAGGTTCTGGATTCGAACCTCGGTGAGCGCATACTTATGAAGAGCCACAAACTAAGATAAAACGGCTAGGTGTCCATTACTCCCAGTTGGTTTTCTAAAGGTTCTCTAGCCACTGTCAGCTCGTTATGGAATCCTCCAACTTATTACAGATTTATTTGACCACAAACTGACATCAGTGCAATAACTATTGGGAAACCAAACCAAGGGAGTACTGGAGAGCCATTTCATTCTAGTGTGGAACTCTTCAGTAGTATGTATCCACCGCCAGGGTTCTGACCGACGGTCTTAAGGCTACAAGTGGAAAGATCGTTGACTGCTTGGCCACTGCTGCCTAACTCAATGACTAGTCCATGAATTCTAACTTCTACCAGTTCGTAATATATAGTGAAGCCACCAGCCAGTGTCATAAGTAAGTAACGGGACCTCATTGATTAAGACTTCTGATTTACAAGTTGGCCTTGTAATCGAAAGGTCCTGCATTCGAACTCTGATGGGTGAGTACTGTGCTGAGGAGTCACAAACTAGGATGAAACAGCTATTCAACACTAACTGGTTTTCTAATGGTTCTCTAATTGGTGTAAGCCTGTGTTTGCCAACATACAACACTTAAGTTAAAATGTTTCTTTTTGCTAAACGTTGTCACCTACTAGATTTTAAAGCCTGGATGTTCGGACAGATACTTGAATTTCAGGGCAGCACATCCCATTACCACCAAATTAACTAACTGTGGCTGAGAATCTGACTGAAAACAGTGGTGAACTTCTAGTTACTAGGGGATAAGACACTAGCGGGTTAAATTAAAATTAATCCAGTTGACACATTTTTTCAATAATTTAATAATTCCCATTGTAGCATTAAGAACACAATATTCAGCGAAGAAACTCCTGTCAACGAATTTATTATCAACCTGTACAGTCGTATATATACATGGTTTTCAAGAAGTTATATCCGGTGAGGGAATTAGGTCAAAGGTGTGAATACATGAAATAATAATAGTATGAAATGCAATTAAAATATTTGTGATTATGATCATATTTTAATGTCAAGTGGCAAAATAACTAATGTCACATATGGAATGATTCATAAGATGTATAGATGTTGTAAAGGCGTGTATAACTATGGGATTAGTAGGCTAATATGCAATGTTACACAGCCAGCCACAGTTTGTTCCCCATCTCTGTAGAAAGAGAAGCTCCTCCATCTGGAGGCCTTCATTTTCATCTATCAGTTCACATACTCCTGTGAAGCAAGGTACATTTGCCGTAGTCGGAGAATACTTTCCACACGGATACAAGAACGAATTTCAGCATGGTTTTACATGGGAGAAAGGAAGAGTGTGTGGAACTCTTTTCTAGAACACCTGATTGACTCCTGTCACTATGTCAACACTGACCATGATTTTAATTAAGATCATCTACCGAATCCATGCTAACTTGATGCATTTTCTTCCTTACAAACTTCTAAAGATAGCAGAAGCCTCGACCATTCATGAATTTAAGCCAGTCCTAGCCTATTGATAAAGAGTGAAGTGATAGAACATGTTGGCCACTTCACCTATTTGGGAAGTTGTATCAGCACCAACGGACTGATTGGCGACGAAATCTCCCCACGGATCCAAAAAGCTCGAGCTGCTGCTCCAGCTGACTTACACCATCTCTGGCGTAGGCGTGACATCCGGCTGGCTATCAACCAAGGGACGTGTGTACTGCTCATCAGTTCGCTCCGTCCTTCTCTATGGCTCTGAAACATGGCCAATACGAATTGAAGGCATGAAAAGATTGGCTACTTTCGATCATAGATGTCTGCAATCTCTTTCTCATGTTAGGTGGTATAATAAAGTAAGTAATGTTGACGTAGAGTGTTGGGCTATGGGGGAAAATCAATCGACGAGGCTGTAAAGTTACATAGATTGAGAAGATTAGGTCACGTGCTGCCCATGCCTAACCATCGCCTCCCCTGACGGGCATTACTAGCTGATATAGGTTCAGGTTGGAAAAGAGTAAGTGGTGGCCAAACAAAAACATGTCCTCATCAATCCATGAAATCCTTGACAGTTAAACTGAGTCAGGTAAGGAGGGAGATGCAGACTCCCGGGTTGGGGCCCTCAGGACTGACTCTAGGAATCAATGGCTGGAGACAATAGGTGACATGGCTCAAAATCGTTGTCAATGGCCAGCGCAGATGTATTCAGTCTCTGTAATATTCCATATTCCTTTCTACCATTACCCATTCTGTTTCACTCTTATACTTGTCAAACTCTATTGATTCTCTCCACTCATCCTCTTGTCTACCTCTGTGTGCTATTCGGAACGTGGCAACTGGAACTGCTGTACTCCGGTGCCAAGTTCTGTGTTGAATCCAGACAGACAGACAGTCCTTTATGTCCAAAAGAAGAACGTATAACCCCTATTTCTGCCTTGGCCGTAGAAGGATATGCATTTTCATATTTTCTTTATTTAGTTAATCTATGTACCTTCCCCTCGCTACTACGACTGTTACTATTATTACTATTTCCACTCTGAGTTGTTTCCTCTTTTCCCACTTGTCATACTAAACAGACAATTATTTTTTCTACGTTATTGAATTCTATCTTATCAAGTTTCACGCCATGTTATGTAACATTGTATATTAGCCTACTAATCCCATAGTTATACATGCCTTTAAAACATCTATACATCTTATGAATCATTCCATATGTGACATTAGTTATTTTACCACTTGACATTAAAATATGATCATAATCACAAATATTTAAATTGCATTTCATACTACTATTATTATTTCATGTATTCACACCTTTGACCTAATTCCCTCACCGGATATAACTTCTTAAAAACTATATATATTTGATTGTACAGCTTGATAATAAATTCGTTGACAGGAGTTTCTTCGCTGAATATTGCAGTCTTAATTTAGTCTACTCTTGAGTGAAAATAATTACCCGAAGGCCTCTATTAAATAGATACTTTAAAAGTGAAGGTAAGGATGCATCGAAGATTTCGGTTACTACTGTGCTAGTGATTCCATTTAAGTTGAAGTTGCTAAATTTGTGCCACTGAGAACGACTTTCAGCCATGTCACTAATAGTTCCCAGCCGTTGATTTTCAACGTATCGAGGTTGCTAGTCAGTCAGCCTACATCTTTCTACATGACTCCAATCAACAGTTACTGAGTGACTAACTGACTACATGGGTTGATGAAATGTCTTGTTTTGATCACATATAACTATTTTTGCAATTGAATTCTATATCAACCAGTATAGCTTACCAGGAAAGGTGATGGCTTGGCCTACATAATACATGTTCTAACCATCTCACTGGGACATAGAGGAAATCAAAACCAGTGATTCAGCAAAAAGACTGTTTTCAACGAATTTATTACCAAGCTGTAAAATCGTATATACATATATATATATGAGTGAAATTGATTAGATATTGGGATAAAATCAACCTACAGAGCTTGTCTCTGAGTGAGTTTGCAAGTTCGAATGCAGCCACCTTAATCTTTGTTTTATTGAGAATCCTACGTAGGGCCTCAGATGTTCCCTTACTATATGATAGAACCACTGTAGATGCCTTATATTATGTTTTATTTATGTTATCATTATTAGTTTCACCATTATTTTTATTTTGCCTGTGACATTTTACTTTTTGATATACCTAATGGATTTCATAGGACAGTTAGTTATTTAACACCAACAAGCTATTCTTCTATCTGTTTTATTTCATCATTTGGGTCTCTTCTTGTGCTACTTAGTGCTACTGCTCGGTTTGTTAGATACTTAACTAAGTAAGCCTTTACAGACAACGATGGATGAGATGAATTAAAGTCTAAATATCTATTAGCAGAATGCCTTTGCTTTTTATAAAGACTAAAATGATGAAATGAAACAGAGAGAAGAAGAAGCGTCGGTGTTTAATAACTTAACTATCCTATAAAATTCATTAGGAAGATCAGAAAAGGCAAAAAGCAAAATAAAAATAATTGTGAAACTAATAATGATGACATAAATAAAACATAATATAAGTCATCTACTGTTATATCATATAAGGAGGGAACATCTGAGAGCCTACCTAGGATTCCCAATAAAGCAGGAATTAGGTTGGCTGCATTCAAACCCCATACTCACTCAGAGACAAGCTCAGTAGTTTTTAAGAAATTTCATCCCATGAGGAGATTGAGACAAATATGTGGATACAAGTTCTATCCAAGTGGGTGCAACAGCATTGTCCTACGTGGTTACGCAGATGTGGAAGAGGGGCTATACAAGGTGCAATCACCGAGCATCTGGTAGATATTGGTTACCCTATCGCTTCAGCTTCCGCCTTTAAAGTCACCTACCAGGTGAAAAGTAATTTACTCAAATCATTATGCATTCAACTCATCTGTCGTATTGCTGAAGATTTGGCCATTGAAATAAAAAAGCCAGATTTCTGCATACAGAGAAAGTTCATCCTACCTCTCCAACTTTCACGGTCTTAATCACTTCTTGCTTAAGTATGGTAATCCCCATTCATATTTTCGCTCC